CCCCAGCAAGAGGACAATCCAAGGTGAACCCCAGAAGACCTGCAGACTCTGTATCTGTTGTTCAGCGAGGCCCTGTATCTTCCCTCCTTCATGTACCCGTAGAGGTGCGCGACAAGATGTATGATGCTGTACTGGATACAGCCTGCACCTATTCCCTGATGAGAAATAGTCAGTGGAAGAGAATTGCTCGAGAAGGTGAAGTTTTGAAACCAGCTGACAACCAGAGGTTTGCACTGGCCAATGGCAAAACCTATAGTGCTTTAGGAAAAACAACTGTCATTTATTGTTGGCATGGGATGATGTGGTCTTTAGAAACTTTTGTGGTGGAGGATAGTAACCTCACCTTTCCCATCATCCTTGGTCTCGATTTTTTAACCAAAACCTCTGCTATTATCAACCTAGGTGACCAGACCTATGGAGTAAAAGGACCAAAAGGTTACACCTTTTATCCTTTTTCAACTTCAGCAACTGCTGCATCTCCTATGAATGCTAGTATTTCTTCACTTAATCTGATCCTGGCTCTGCCCAAGGAAGAGGACAAAGTATCAAACATAGAGTCATTTCCCAGGGGGACACAACATCCACCCCAAGTCCAGAAGCTTTTGAATGCCTGGCCATCCGTGTGCTCTGATACATTGGGTAGAACATCTGTGGAAGAACACAGAATAATGACCACTGATGAAATACCCATTCGATGCAGAGCTTACCGGGTGTCTCCTTTCAAGCGGCAAATAATAAAAGAACAGATTGACGCAATGCTTAAAGACGATATTATAGAACCATCACAGTCGTCATGGGGGTCTCCTGTTGTCCTTGTTCCCAAACCAGACAAATCTTTCCGATTTTGTGTGGACTATAGAGCTTTGAACGCCAAGACACTCCAAGATGCTTATCCCATGCCCATCATCCATGAGTTGTTGGAGTCCATGACTGGAGCAAACACTTTCAGTATTCTGGATTTGAAGTCTGGATACTGGCAGATGACAGTGGAGGAGGACAGCAAAGCAAAAACTGCTGTTATTACTCCATTTGGACTTTACCAATTTAAGTGCATGCCGTTTGGACTGAAAAATGCTGGAGCGTCTTTTCAGCGTTTAATGGAGAAGGTTTTAGGAGAGCTACGGGGAAAGATCTGCTGTGTGTACATTGATGATGTGATCGTTTTCTCAACCTCTCCTGAGCAACACCTGAAGGACCTGGATACAGTTTTTGCAAGGCTTCATCATGCAAATTTGTCCCTCAACCTTAAAAAATGCAACTTTTTCCAACAAGAACTCAGATTTCTGGGACACATTGTATCGTCAGAAGGGGTTCAAGTGGATCCAGAGAAAACCCATGCCATTACGGTTTATCCAACCCCTACTAACCAGAAAAGTCTTCAGAGATTTCTTGGAATGGTTGGATGGTACCACAAGTTCATATCACATTTTGCAGAAATGGCTACACCGCTGTATCAACTGCTCAAAAAAGATGCAAGGTGGGAGTGGACAGTGGATTGCCAACATGCTTTCATGACGCTGAAGAAAGCTTTGGTGGAATCACCAATACTAGGACAGCCAGATTTTGAGTCACCATTTGAAATTCATACCGATGCCAGTGATGTTGGCCTGGGGGCTGTTCTGGTCCAACCAACCACTGGTGGAGACAAGGTTATTGCTTTTGCTTCCAGATCATTAAAGGGCGCAGAGCAAAACTACTCCACTTCAGAGAAAGAATGTTTGGCAGTGGTTTGGGCAGTAGAAAAGTGGAGACACTTTGTCGAAGGAACAAAGTTTACCATTTACACTGACCATGCTGCTTTAACCTGGGCATTCAATTGCCCCAAATCCAGCTCTAGATTAACACGCTGGGTGCTAAGGTTGCAGGATTTCAGTTTTGAAATACGATATAGAAAAGGAATGCACAATGTAGTGCCTGATGCGCTGTCCCGAGCGATGCCGGCTGACCCGAGTGGTTTAGCACATGTGGCTCTGAATTCTGCTACAGCCATGTTAGGGTTACCACTATCATTAGCAGAAGTCAATGAAGCTCAGGAAAAAGACTCAGACCTATTGGAGCTGGTTCAGGATCCAAGATACCAGAGATCTGATAAGATTAATTTCTGCAAAGTTCATAATCTCTGGTATAGGAAAACCCCAGTAAAAGATGGTATAAAATACCAGTTGGTGGTTCCCAAGTCTTTAATTCTTCAGTTTCTCCAATACTTCCATGATCGTCCCTTAAGTGGACATCTGGGCAGGCTAAAGACACTCCTCCGGTTGTTGGAGGTGGCATGGTGGCCAACAGTCCGTAAGGATGTGTGGACTCATGTAAAAAACTGTGCAGTTTGTCAGAAATATAAATCAGACAATCAAGCTCCAGCTGGTTTTCTGCAACCCACTCCTCTAACTGAACCCTGGGCAAAACTTGGGGTGGACTTGATGGGACCGTTTCCTCGCAGTAAAAAGGGAAATGTTTTCCTTTTTGTAGTGATTGACTATTTCACTAAGTGGGTGGAAATGTTTCCTGTTAGAGACAGCAAGACACAGAGACTCATCTCTATCCTAAGGGAGGAGATATTCACTCGTTTTGGAGTTCCACAAAGTCTTGTGTCAGATCGGGGTCCCAATTTACCAGTCAAGAAATGGCCAGATTTTGCTCTGCGTGGGGGGTAAAGCACCATTTTACCACCAGCTATCATCCCCAAGCTAACTTGACTGAACGGGCTAATCGAACTATCAAAACAATGATAGCCTCATTTGTTGGACAGCATCACCATCTATGGGATCAACATATATGGGAGTTCCGTTTTGCCATCAATGGTGCTCAACATGAAACCACAGGAAGAGCCCCTGCGGAGCTAATGTTGGGACGTCAACTTCAAGGACCATTGGAGAGAATGATATCCAAACCTCCTTCACTTCAGCAAACTGAATACAAATTGTTGGAATGACATAATGAGATGAAGGAAGAAGTCAAAAGGAAATTTGGGTTAAGTAAAATCCGACAAGCCAAATATTATAATGCCCGGAGGAGAGGTGTACAATTCCGGTCGGGAGATTTGGTCTGGGTAAGGTCCCATCCCCTTTCCAAAGCCATAGATAGTTTTTCCTCAAAGCTAGCGCCAAAGTGGTCAGGACCAGCTATAGAGAGGAAACAGTTAGGCCTAGTAAACTATCAGCTTCAGTGGAAGGACCAGCCCAAAGGAACAGACACAATTAATGTGGTTAACTTAAAGCCCTATTTTGGAGTTCAATCTCCCGTGCCTCCGGCTGGGGGGGGGGGATTGTAACATAACCACTATGTTTTGTTTTTCTCAGCAAATATAAATAATGTTAAAAATGCCAAGCTGTCTAGTGGAACAGTTGTGGATTTCATTATAAATAAAAACATAAGAAAAAAAATGTCGAAGTTCCACTTATAAAAAAAAAACTGATGTTGGGTAAATCATGTTTGGGGCCAGGTGTGTGGGAATTAGAGATAAAAAGGGGCGTGTGCGCCGGAAGGCGCGGCGCAATTTGTAAGAAAGACGCTCGTGTCGAACTGTGCAGCGGGAGTTTTGGCCTTATCCTTAGTGTCTGTTTAATCCAAAGAAAAGTAACAAAAAGATAAAACATCGATTAAGGTTCGATTAAGGTTCGTCCCAGCGCCACAGATCGGGCCCGGAAGCCTGGACCGGAGGGTGCACCGAGGGAACGCCGCCCGGTGCAGAAGGACGACGACAGTCCATGGAGGAAACCACCGGGGGGAAAAGGGACGCTCCCGGTGAGATCTGGACTTTATTTTTCTTTTGGGGGGTTTTTGGGGTGGTACCACTCTTCTTTTTTCTCATCTTTTTTGGGGTTCATTTTTGACGTTTTGGATTTTTCTTCGGGAAGAAGACGGGGATTAATACGGAGCGACGCTTCCAGGTCGTGGTTAGATTTGGATGTATGGGACTCCTTTATGGACAAAAATATAAAAAAGGAACAGGACTTTGGGATTTTCTATTTTTTAAGTGTGGTTTGTGAATCGGCCTGACAAGGCAAATCAGACTCTTGATATTTTGGGTGGGTTTTGATGTTGATTTAGATTGATTAACTATTCAAATTTTGGGTTTCTGAATAAATTATTTCTGGTGCAAACCTATTAATTTCATACTGAGTGGGTGAACATTTGTTTTTTATCAAACTGATTCTGGTAACACTTTTAACCTTTACCTGGAACAAGATCCCCCTTGTGTGTTTCTTTGTGAGTTCTGCTTTAATCAAGCCGGAATATTACAAGACAACAGAGCCTAAAAGCAATTTAACAGCTCAATCTATTTTCCCCCTCTTCTTCACACACCTCTCCATCTGATCATTTATTGCCTCGCTGCCTTAAGATTATCTGCAGCTTTAACATCAGCAGAATAAGCTCCCACCATTTTGCTCTCTGCTCTATCTGGTACATGCATATACATATCAATCTCAAATGGTATTAGAACAGAGGAGGCCGTTGTAGGCTGGAGAAGCAATTGGATCTGTGACGTCATTTTGTCTCAACGATCAGATAATAATTTCTCTATATTACTGGAGCAAATTGTAACTTCCAATGGACAGCAAACAGGACAGAAAGCTGTGAACAAGCAAAAACAACAGGAAGAAAGATGCCAAGAGTGTAGATACTATCATTGTTGCCACTGTTCCTTTAACCACAGTTTTTGAGACTATGAGTTTTCAATGTAGCTTCTTTTTAGAAATGCAAAGAAGCAACTATGGTTTGACAGTTGAAAAGCGTGAACAAAAGCGTAATTGTCAAGGTCAGCTCTGACAGCTTTACACAGACAATAAAACTATCCTGACACAATGGGAAAACATCTCTGGATGGATTTTTCTCTGCTTCCACCAAAGAAACCAATATCTTTACTTCATTGTTCTCTCAAGTTATACGCTCTTTTGATTTTTGGTACACAAAAACAAATCATTAAATGAGAAGCATAGCCCTGGTGACTTGTATGGAAATGTGTTCCCCCACAACAACGAGAACAAAACAGTACTCACAAGCAGGAGCAATCACAGGCCCCTCCTTCAGTGTTCTTCTGTCCTCCTGTGCCGGCGGATACTATCACCAGCTTTTGTCTCGAGCTTGACTGTAGACGCTTCTGTATGCGGAGCAGAGATGTTCGCAGCTCAAGATGGTCAAACGCAATGGAAGATGCGTCATGAGTGACATCCGAAATCTCCCTATGGTTTTACATTCTCAGACCTGGCCCCTGGAGAAACAGGAGCACAAAAGAGAGACAGAGAGAGCAAGAGAGTTGTGAGTAAGAATGGGCCTCCTCTTCCACATACAATGAAGGCATTGAAAAAAAATGGAATGAGCAGGATGGCAGCTGGGAGGAGAGGCTGCCATACTATAACAGCCAGTGGGTCATTGTCAGCCCTGTGGAGTGTGACAGATTTCTGTGTTTGTATCTGGACAGCTGTCAGTGAAGATAAACACTGAGACTTAGTTCTTTGCATACATTTCACACTGCCTCAGGCCTCATTCACACCAGACTAAGACCACAGCAAGACAATATCAGCCAACCAGCACTTGGACGGATCTTTAAGAGTTCTTGGGGTGTATCAAGAATGTAATGTTCTTCCAATTACTTGTGAGAAATGTTAAGCATTCAACTACAGGAGCAAGACTGTGGAGGTTCATTATTGTGGTAACAGCATATTTGAGTTCTCTTTGGAGGATCTTGAGAGCATCAGCCAAGTTTAAAATAAAGTCATGGCCGCAGGCTGGGAATTCTCTAGGTAAAACGGCTGTCTGCAGACGGTGTGGCATGCTCTACCAATATCTTTAGACTTAAGTATAAGTGGTGTCCCCAGGTGGTCTGGAAGATGTGTGCAGATTTGAATGTCCTTCGATCATATGACCAGGGATCAACTGTTTTGCTTTGGATGAGGAGCCTCAAAGCAAATCTCCTAAAGCATCTAAAACTAACTGTCCATAATCTCCTCACCAATACACACACACACACTCAATGATTTGGCCCCTTGTACAGAGATGCACTGGGCTCTCCTGCATCCTCTCACTCTGCCAAGAAAAACTGATAAAAATCCCTTTAATTTTTTCTTACACATTAAGTCTGAAACTGATGCTAGAAGTGCAAAAATCTCTTTCATTTATACACAATTTCTGTAGATTGCCAGGAAACATTTTAGTTCACATGTAATATGAGCATTAGTGATAAACAGCTTTCCGAAAGAATGTTGATAGCATCCGGGTACCGCAAATGCAAGCTAGATTAATGTGTATTAGATTTGCTGTAATCTGTCATTTGGTCATACATCCCAAATACCACAAGGCAGTCCTTAACGGCTGTGATAAAGGAATAAAGGAAAAGTGATGGAAAAAGTATTTATTTTTTCCTTTAATGCAATTTTAAAACAACAAGTACACATTTATGAATACTTATTATAAATGTCTGGATGTGTAAATGTTCTTTTTAGCCTCTGACATACATGACTTAAAGTAATCTTAGGATAATCATTAATCAAAATGCCCATTATGTCCTAAAAACCTTCCAGGCATGTCATCAAATAGCAATGTGACAATTTATGCAGCATATCAGCTAATAATATTTGCCTTTAATGTAATGCGTATCCTCTGGCGATAACTTCATTATAAAAAAATTTCCATTTGGGAGAATTGACACAAACATACCAGCTGCAATGCACTCTTACTCCAACACAATTCCTCTGCATGACTCCCTCAGCTACCGCTCTCCATTATTGATGAGACTTCCTCTGTGGGTCTCATCTGCCACTGTGCTGGCTGCAGTTGCTTGTGGGCAGCCACTCTGGATGTAGAGGGGGACCAGCTGATGCCACGCGAGGAAAACCAAAAGGGGTGCGCACATTAACAGCCTAATGACAGGATGTCATCTAACGCTGCATGCCACATTTGTTATTGGTTTAATCTAAATTCAATGGGGTCGTCATCAAGGGGGGAAGTAATTACCTTCAAATCCACAGGGGAATGGCCTTTGTATGAGTCCAGCTGAATTGTGAATACTCAACCTGAGCAGCATGATTTAAGCATACTCTGCTGTTCCAAATCACAGGAAAGGAAGAAATCATGTGGGGAATGATTGTAGGGCAGAGCGAGGAAAAACAACTTACAAGGTCATCCTTTTGGGTAAACTAAAATGATTTATTTATCATGCTGTATGGCAACAAAAACAGACAAAGACGAACATTTCTGCAATGTCAGCTGTCGTAAATGTATTAGGTACTACACCGACTATCAGCTCAAGGGACGCTGAGGAAGGTATCAAAACACTAAACACCTGCCCCTCCTTCATGACAGGGAGCAATATATCACTCCACCACCAATGATATTATTTCATGTTCAAAACATGGTTGGTGTAGTATCTCTATTACATCTCTCCCTCAGCTGCAGCTTTATCAGGGTGGATCCTGAATGGTTATTAAATCTGAACATAAGAGTCAGGAAACTTTGAAATGAAGGAAAAAGATAACTAAAAATGCATTAAAAAACTGAAATATGTTTTTTTTTTAAAAAAAAACATCAATAAATGGAGTGTGAACAAACCAGGGAATACAAATGAGAGTGTATATCAAGAATGAAAGGATTATGAAGTTTCCTGCAGGTTTTTCCAATATGGAGACACACTCCAACAAGAATAATCCTTTTATTGTTTAAACAACAAAAGTAGGCACAGGTTGCCAGGCTGCGCCACTGTTATGTACGAACCCAAAATCTCATTCGCTTTGCTTTGGTTTATGTTTTCTGTTTACATTATTTAAGGTACCAGTAGTGCAAAGAAATAATAAATATTTTATGATGAAATCATACCCAATAGTTCTGTCAAAGAGTTTGCATTTTGTAAATCCAAAAACCAACCAATCAAAATGTCTGTGTATTATGAACAGCATGGTGTTTAAGACTCATTAACATCTTTATGATTAAAAGGAAATGTAGACTGATGTCTATTTGTTATTTTGGAGTGGCGATAATTTGTGAAGTAAATTTGCACAAAGTGTAAATTTTCCTTGAACATTAAAATCTGCTGTGCTCTCAGAAATGCCTGATGTATTCTGAGCAGAGAAACCCCAGACAGCAGTAGCTGGCTGTAACACCGTTCAACCACTGTTCTGTCATGTTCTGCTCTGTGGCCAGACATCGAGCACGTAATCACACCAGAGCATGTGCGTGGGTGCATGCCCACTTTCACACACTTTTTGAAAAGTTCACACTGTGCAGGAGGATGTGGTGTGTGCATGTATGTGTTTTTTTTTTCTTGTCCGTGGGCTGAACTTGTCAGTCTGTTCATCTGACATTGACAGATGAGTGGACAAAGCCTGAAAATAGAGGGGTGAATAGAGAGCAGGTATTGACTTCCTTCACACCTACTTCTAACTCTTTCGAAAAGCGGTTGACCTGTTCCACACTTATTTTAACCAGGTTTATATATATATATATATATATATATATATATATATATATATATATATAACTCTTGGTATTGATGATGCATTTTTAGACAAACTAATAGAGAGGATGCAATTGACAGAAGGCAAATGTCAAAATATATACTGCCTATCAAAAGATTATTTTCCACAGTTACTTTGCAAAAGAAGATCATACATCAAATAAGCCAGGCTGCAAGTTTGTTGTAGTGACATTCCCCATTTCACTCTTCATCTGGAAGGATACAGTTTACAAAATTATACAGCACAGTGTGCAACCATTAATGTGCAGTCACAATAGGGAAAAGCTATTGTTTTAGTGTCATTAGTTATTTGTATTTTCCACAAGCCAAACACAGCAGTCATGTGGAACAAGGTGCTCTAGAAAGTTGAGACCAAAGGTGAAATCTTTGCTTGCAAATTCTATGTATAGAAGAGAAAACATCATAGTATCATCACCCTGATGATACTATTTACATGGTAAAACATGGTGGTGGTAGGATTATGCCATATGAAAAGAGCTGGATGTATGGAGCTAAAGTTGGGGAAGTACTAGGGAGGAAATGCCTGCTAAATGTCGCAAAAGACATGAGACTATGGTCAAAGATTTACTTCCCTATGGGACAGAGACTTTAAGATAATAGCGCTTAAGTCTTCTCCTGAAAATGCCTTTTTATGTCCCTTAAAAGGGCAAAAGAGACATTTGCTCTTGCTTTCAACCTGCTGTACACACACAAGTGTGAAGTCCTACTGTGCAGACATTGGACTGAAAGCTGATAATGAGAGTTAATGGCTGAAATTGCATTGTGCCTAGCAGTCAATTGCAACGATTTCTTGCTGAAATTATCGCAATTACAATTGGTGTTGTATTTTAAATGTATATATAAACTCTTATTGGGTGATTCACTCCACTACACACTTTACACAACTATAGCATAATCAAATCACTTTAATGCCACAAACTAACAAGATGTAAACTTTGCTATGACGACACCATGACCTGAATAGATGACCCATTAAACATAAACTATTCTCTTCTAAAACGTTGAGGGCACATTGGACATTGCCCAAGATAACTGAGCTGAGCCGGTGGCCTTCTTCATTCTAAGGACATCTGTCATGGTAGAGAAAATTGCCAGGTTTTCCATGAAAGAGAATTCAGTGATGCCTCTTCAGCACGCCTCTATGATTAATTCAGGAATGTCATTCGATGGGTAAATGCTCCTTTATTCTTGTGTTAGTGGTTAATATTAATAATGCATGGCTGGGTCTAAGTTCAACATCCGTCTTGGCAAAGTTTGACATGGAAAGGTTTCACCAGCTGTGCATGCTTGTCAACACATCCCTTCTTTCCCCCTCTGCTTCTCTTTCCACTTCAGGCTAACGACTCTATTGCTTTTCCTCCTCGACTGCTCCTGGCTCCGACACATACCCCTGATGGGAAGATGTGGGCCATCAGCAGTAATTGGAGGAGTTGTGCTGGGTGAATTTCCGTTGCAGGACACTGCGACGTGATCAATTTGGAGAATGCTAGTGGTGGTTAGGCGGTCTGCAAACCCCCACAGCCCCATGACAGTTCAATGGAGCTCGTGCCACAGAGCGTAGGATATCCGTTTTCAAGAACAATCGTCAACTGCGGGTCACCATTGAGCCCTGAGAGCTCCCAGCTATCCAGTTTAATCATAATTACCCATTTAGTCCATTATCATCTGGGAAGAGGTGCACTGAATTTAATGTTAGCATTTCATTATACTCACATTAAAGAATAAAGGAAATGTCAGAGGCT